ATCGCTTTTAATATACTGAGGCGTGTGGCAGCTTGTATCCAGGCTAGAGGCGGGTCAACACCTTATTGAACTTGTTACTGTAACTTTGCAATAAATTATTCAATTGTTCTGAAATTTTAATCATTTACTATTCTGTACATTGTCTTCCTATCCACCAATTTTCGTTTCAATCGGACAACTCCTTCTTGGTGCGTCGATTTTTTTGTTATAGAGTGTATATTTTTAAGCTCCCTTATATTTTAGTCTATATCTTTATATAAAGCTCAAGGTGGATGGGCCCTTTCACCTTATAAAGGGCAGGAAGATGTTTAGCGGTCCAATTTCTTGATTCAGAGAACTTGGAGGAATTTCTCTCTCCAAGAAATTGGATGATTTGTCGAATTCAGGCTCTTCACTATTCAAGTTCAAATCATTATTCAAGTTTTTAAATGTCACTGATTGGTCGGATGGAAAACCTGCGCTTTGTTCATATTCAACATTTTAAAATCATACTTACTTACATGAATTCAAAATTACTAAATAAAATTGAAATAAAATCATAATAGCACGAATAGACCATAACAGATTGATTTATTTGGATTGAATGTATGAAAACGGACAACAAAAGGACATAATCTGGTGCATGCTTGTTGACGTCACAAAACTTAAGAAGCTGATTGGTTAAGAGAGAAAAAACTTGAACCTTATTTCTCGACAGTGTTAATTATTGTTATGACGTCACTCTTAGTTTACATTTTAAACAGTTGAGAATTTGATTTGTTAATTTTTTTAGAACTTGACGGTGTTTTTTTTCCCAAGATAGACTAAAATTTCGTACTTACAGCGTTTTCTTTCGGTTCACAGTCATCAGCGTCTTTGTAACTGACTTCCTCTTTCAAACACTTGGTAATTACAGCAGTTACTTTAATACGATAAGATGATGCTTTCTTCAAAAACAAAAGAGACATTTACGAAATATAACAATGATATATTATTAGTAAAAGATCAATTTTTGTTAAAGGTACTATAAAACATATGGGATATATTACATAATTTAGCAGGTATAAATATTAATTTAATTTTAAAAGAAAACGAAATAATATCAATACACGTCATTTTCAATTTTAAATAGCAGTAATACACAGAAAGACAAAAGATGCAAAATGACATTAAGCTTGTTTTATTTAATTTTTTAAAAAAAATTAAAAATCAAATTCGTTTAAAAATAAAACTTATTACTCAACTTTTAATGATCAATTGGTTTCTTTTTCTAAAAATTTAAGGCAAAATTTTTTTTTTAAAGACACCAAATATTATTTTAAAAGATGAGTGTTTATAATGTCATTAGATTCTAACCACTTCTGCGAAATATATATTTTAACATATTTCGTAACATTTGTAGATATTTCCCTTCAAAATTTGGGTCATGCATTTTTAATAGCTGAGAATAAGTATTGATTTTTCTTAATGTACGTTAACCAATCCTATTAAAGAATAATATTTCATTTCACATAACGTTCTAATTGTACATATTTAATCAGGCAATAAGATTTTTATTTTTTTCCAATCCAAATCATCAATGGGGGGAAATAATAGTAAAAAAAAAAAAAAAATAAAATTAGAATATATTTTGACTCTCACCAGGTCCTTAAAATTTCTCTAATTTCAAAAAATGCATTACTTTAAAACTATTTTTTAATTTTCACATATCAATATTTTATTTAACCGCCTGCAGTATAAATATCTGCATTGTAAGATCCTTTATTTGTGAACAAAAAAATATATCTTGTAATATTTACCACCCTCGCCTCGCATATTTATCTAACATGATAAAAATTACCAAAAAAGAACGTCTATTATTTTTCTACGAAAAAAATATTATATATTTTACAATGTAATTGCACAGTGAGTTAAAAAAATGCAACACTAAATTCTAACCTCGTAAATGTCAATTTTTATAGTTTAAAGGATTGACCTCAAGTATGATAATTAATTAGTTATAACTATAGATTAAGCTACGAAATGACACATGAGTATAACTAGTTTCTTCAATGGTAATTTCATGTAAAAAAACAATTTACTTTTTAATTATTCATATTTTATTGTTTAATTTACTGTTTCCCTTTTAAACCACGTGATTTTAAGTAACATAACGCGAATACTGAGCGAAATTAATCAAATAATTTATGAGTAGTTAATTTTAAAAAAGTCCCATATTAAAATTTATTTTTTAAAAACAATCTGATTGATTTTTTTTTCAAATTTTGTATACGGTCATCAGACAATCTACACTTTCATATGGTATAAAGAGAGATTCGAAGTACAATACATTTAAATTCGAAGTTTTTGGACAATTATTTGAATCGGAAAATAAATTATTAAAACTTATTTTTTTGTATTGTTGTTCTTAGATAAATGATTTTAATAACTTAGTGCGACCATTTTGCAAATCACTTAAATAGTAACTGAGATATTTCAAAATCTACAAACAGTGAAGTTAATATTAGGCGGTTCAAACTTCATGATTAAGAGAGCTTATCATTTTCATGACTAAATTTCTTGGGATAATGTATTTCAGGTTGTGATTAGACTCCCTAAAATTTAAAAAAAAGACAAGTATCTAAATGCGTCGATTAAAAATAAACTTTTGAATTAAGCATAAATAAAGAGCTATAAATAAAAAGGACCTGCTAGAGTTACTGTTCTATAAACAAGAACCTTCCTCAGTATCGAAACTCAAAGGACGAAAATGGACAAACTAATAGAAGAGAGCCGCGATGGCTCAGGACATAGAGCGTTCGCCTTCCAATGAGGCGAACTGGGTTCGAATCCCAGTCGATACGAATTCCACACCCGGCTTGCACCGACCACAGTGCTGACGTGAAATATCTTCAGTGGTAGACAGATCATGGGTTAGAGTCCCCTTGCCGTCATTCTAACCGTGGGAGGTTCTCGTGGTCTTCCTCTCCATGTAATGCAAATGCAGGCTATCTCCATTGGCTGTTCAACGACGGTTATATATATATATATAAAAAGGAGAGAAAAAAAACTAATAGTAGACATAAACGTTGCAGATAGAAGAAAAAGTCATTTAAAAAAGGTTTGTAAACAATAAAGTACGTTTTTGTGATGTATTTAGTAACTTAATGAATAGATAGAACTAATTAACTAGGCAAATTTCGTCAGCCGTTTGAGCCATAATAATTGTCCATCCATTAGAACAGGAGTTATTTCAATTGATTGAATTTTTCTGTTCACTGTACTTATATCATGGTATTATTTCCCTAACTAAAAAAATCACAACAAGAACACAAGTGTAAAATCACAAATTAAAAGTATTCACCTTTACGAAAAGAATGTGACACAGAAAAAAAAAACGTTTAAATTTCATATATATCTGTAAGTTAAGTTTAAAAGTTCAATTTAGTTATATACGAAAGAGTTAAATAGAATTCTTTGACTTACTCCACATTCTTCATTGGAGCACTTTGCTTCTTCAGCTTTGGTAATACTGTCAATTTTCCAGCGATAAGCACCATAAAAATGATCTGAGAAAGCTTGAAATAACTCATTTGCTATCTTTTTTACATTTTCGTCACTTACGTCAACTTCTTTATAATCATCGCAACCGTCACAAGAATGAGAGCTTACAATAAGTGGACATAAAACACATATCAGCAAAATAGATTTCCACATGTTGAATTTTATTGATTCTCAGATCAAACCTTTTGCGATGCTAGAAAGAAATATGTGCTACCTATTAATCAATGATTCCAAATCCCTTTAGAAGATTAATTTATAGGATAGCTTAAACTTATTCACCTGTTTCTTTCTCAACCTTATCAGAATATTTAGATAATTTAAAAAAACTTTGAATAATGATAAGATTAATGTATGCAAAATTTTCTGGTGAATTTGCTTAAATTTTAGATACATGTATGCAATCAATTGAAATCATCGAAGTTGCAAATCTCATATTAAAGCAATTTTAAAACAGTAATATCTGTAAATAAACTAGATAATAAGAACAAAGATGATACAAACCGACAGTTTGAGGCTACTGGTGAGAAAATCATGTAATTAAGTGCGATGCGTAGTTTTGAGAAAATCCTCGTCTGACCTCCTAACCTGTTATAGCAATGCAAAGATTGAGTTTGTAACAAAAAAGTTAAGGTAAGATTTAGATACATTTTTCACTTAATGATTTAAATTTATAACAATGTAAATTTTTAGTTTTATATTATGTTATGCACTTCTGGTGACTGGTGTAGCACTCAACATGCTAGAAAAGTAAAAGACTTAAGAAATATGAAAGATTTAAATAAGAAGTTATAGGCTGTAGAGAGAATGCTTAATTTTGAAATTAAGTATATACTTTTTTACTGTAATGTAATTTTGTGCATTTTATGTGAAGTAGGGGAGAGTGGGGTTAATTGTAACAGGGTACGATTGTAACAGAGCAAAAATTTCGAGTGTCGGGTTCTAGATTTGGTTCCTAGGTGGCGCACAAGGTGTATTTAATAAATCTACATGTACACCCCTGATGGCAACCATTTTTATGTACTTTTGAAAGAGTTACATCACAAAAGATATTTTCACGCCACGCAAGTACTTTTTTTGGTATTAGAATATTATATTGTAACAAAGTAATTTTGTTTAAACAAATAAAAATTAGTAACCGAATATGTAAGTGGACACTTTAATTAACATTTCAATAAAAAAAAAGATTAGTTTTGCTAATTAACTAGCATTGTTTTTAACAAATGAAGCTGAAATGGCGTCTTGGGGACAATTGTAACAATAAGTAAAGGGACGATTGTAACAGCTGAAAATAAATAATCTTATGTTTACAAACCATTACTTAACTCTTTAAGAACCACCAATAGTTTCCTATATCATTTATATTATGTTGCATGTGCATTATTTTATTTGTCACCTTTCACAGCATAAATTAAAATTTTTAACCCCTTAAAGTTAAAAGTTTAACCCTTTAGGTCTCTGCTCATTATTATTTTTACTCCTAAAATATCACTACTATTTTGATCAATAAAAAAATATATCACAACTATGATAATATGTATAATTAACTATGTTTTAGTTGAATTTATGAACTGTTACAATTGACCCCGTAAGTGGGGACAATTGTAACAAGTGCACGACTGTCAAAAATTTTTAATAACTAATGTAATAACATTTAAAATAAGGTATCTTTTTTTTTCTAGTAGAGGATAGTCTACTTTACTCGTCTGTCAATTAATACTAATAACATATTGGATTTTTTGTTAGTTAAAAATAGTTAAGTAAAAAATGTTACAACTGACCCCACTCTCCCCTAGTCTTACAAAATTTTATCTCATTGTTATTTTTTATACAAAAAACGTTTTTTTTTTCGTTCCTTTTTTAAATAGACCGCCCATTAATTACTTTAGATCAGTACCATTAATAACATTAAATAAATAAATAATTTTAATTATTTATTTATTTAATGTTGCATTTGGCAATGCTAAGCGATCAAATTATTTTGAGAAAATGGGTAAACCTCTACAGTTATTCAGAAATAGCTCTATCATAAGCTTCTACTGGGTAGAAGCTTACGATAAAGTTATTTCTAAATTACTGTTTACTGATAAAAAAAATATAGTGTATTCAAAAATCCCTCAAAATTAAATAAACGTACAACAGAAAATCATTACAAAAAATTGTTTTGTTATAGTTTTGACTATATAACCTCACACAATTAAAATGCACAAATTCAATAATTTTGGATAATTATTGAATCTTCCTTCCTCAAAAAAGAAATTAAAAAGTATATTTCCGATTTTATTCTATGAATGGTTTTAAAACAGTATATTTTTCTTTGGTAAGTTCATCATTTAAATGATGAAAAGAGCAGTGTATGTGCGTTTGTTTAGAAAAAGTCTTTAGAAAGAAATTAACAAGTCTATTTCCTGTTTTTTTAATCTTTGAATAGTTTTTAAGTAGTATATTTTTCTTTGGTAAGCCCATCATTTAAGTGTTCAAAACAGAAGTGTATGCGTTTTTTCTCTCAGAAAAGTGGATGTATATTTTTCATGGTATTATTTCTGTAAATACAAATTCATAAGTTTAAAATGAGTAATAGAACTGTTTAGAGATAAATGGGACACACAAAAATTTTATAAATTATAATGATATCTGTATAAAAAATAAAAAAGTCAATTCCGGGAATAACTTTTGACTGAATCGATTTTTCACATTTAATGGTTCAAGGACCTAAATGTTAAATATGAAAATTAATTAGTGTAAATGATCTTCCGTCTAAAGTTGCTTCTGAAAGTCAAATCACAGAATCGAGATTTTATGTATACAAATTTTTAAAACTTGATTTCTGGAGAACTATTAGAACTATTTAGTGCAAATTTTGTATTTTATCATTTAAAATTTCAAACTTTAAAAAAATATTAAAAATTGTATTGCTTACGATTTCTGAATTTTTCATACCACTATTAAATGAAATAATGAAAAAAATATATAACTACCAAAAATTGTTTCGTAGGAGAAATCAATTTTAGATAAATATGCAAAGTTTTGTGTAAAAAATTTTCAATTCGCTTAAAAAGTTCTACAGATACAGCGAAATACGGAAAAGGTGAAATTAACGTAATTAAATCTTCTATCGCTTTTCCACCTTAACTTTGGGGACCATATTTTTCAAGATTTGTGGCTTCTTTTCATATTTTGAGTCAGGAATCAAAATACGAAGAAGAGAGGAGTGTACTTTTGTGTCTGATTGCGTAACTCATCGTCTTTAATAATTATCAAACATATTTCGTTTAAAAACTCAAACCATTAGCTCAGTGATTCTCAACCTTTTTTTTGTTGCGGCACACTTTTAACGATTTCGAAATATGATGGCACACAATGAACAAAATTAGAATAAAGTTGGTTAATTACCTATTTTACACTGTGTTAAATAGTTTGTGATAATAATTTTGAATGTGAAATAAAATAATATGTACTACAAAAGCACTTTTATTAAGGGATTAATTATTTCTTTCCACCAATTTTTTATTAGTTAGTAGCAGTTAATTATTTTTTTGCTTGTTATTAATTGTTAGCTTGTTTTCTATAATTATTAACTGTTATTTTTTGTGATCTCTTGTTAACTAGTTTTTTTGCTAATTATCTATTGTTAGCTTAATTTTTGTTAGTTTTCCTTTGTTAATTTGTTTATTAATTGCATAGCTAACTTTAATGATTAACTCTTACATATACTCTTACATATGTATGTCATATACAATTTAGACACTTCCATCTTATTTTAAGATTGTCGTCAAAGATGTTAACGAGGTTAAAGCGTGGAAAAATTATAAAAAGTATATATGGGTCATTCTCACAAAAACAGTCATTTTCATGTCCCCAGTATATTTTATGTTTGTTTTACAGCATACGAAGAAAAAAAATTCAGGGAAAGTGTCCTTCAGAATGCAAGCTAACAAAAGAATAAAAATAAAATTATCAATTTTTATTTTTTATTTATTTTAGGTAATTAAAATATACCAATATGTCATTCCCTCACTTGTCCCCACTGCTGATTTAAAAAAAGAAAAAAATTGTTTCTGAAATAAGAAA